GGGTGTTGTGTTGGAGTGTAATATCCCGTATTGAAAGTATGGAGCTAAAACGGAAAGAAGAAAAGCTCGAATTAGAAGAAAAAGAATTAGTTAAACAAGTTCGTTATTTCTGTTTTTCTGTTGATAGTCAGTTCAGTTCTTTCTGTTATTTTCTGGTAAATTTCTGTTGATAATGTATTATAATTACAACTCAGTCTGATGTACAAAATTCATTCAATAAAGTTTGGTAATTCTTGCCATTCTCGTTTTCTTCATTCTGTTTATCAACACACAGCAATGAATATAAAAATCAAAATGATAAAATAGAAACATCGATATCAAACAGTCAAATCAGATCAGTCTACACTCTGTTGTACCCAAAACTAAGCACGTGAACAAAGGTATTGCACGGGCAAAGTTTGGGCCACGTCTGACAAACACCCTCCCTGGGAAAATCACACACACAAACACAACAATGAATATAAATCGTTTTAATAAACGTAAACAGCAACATCATCTTCAGTTACTAATAAGAAAGAAAATGCCCGGGCTTCAAGCCAAATAGCCTGAATTCCACAAATATTTATCCAAATGCCCCAAAGCCACCTAATACACTGATGAACTCTTCGAGCTCCAATTTCCCACCCCAGTAACACAAAATCTACCATATAAAGCTAACATATTCAGAGAAAAAGTCCAAAAAAGAAAGGAGAAAAGAGAAAGAAACTCTAAACAAGCACACTGAATTCAAGTCTTCCCAATCCTTCTACCCCCAACTTTTCTCTCTGTATACCCAACATAATTCTCAACATTCATAGGCAGAGGAGGCTTCTTATTCTCCTTTCTAGTACAGCTCCTCAGTGAATACCTTGGTGTTGCAGCCTCTCTCTGAACCATCATCGGCGTGGCAGCCACCGCCATTTTCCTCCCGCTGTCAAATTTCTTTGCAGATTCAATTCTGACTCCAAGATTATTCATTGGCTTCCTCGTATGACCCTCCATTTCACCCTTCTTTCTCTTCAGCCTCTCATTTCTTCTTGCAGAGTACTCTTCATAAAACCTGCCCCTCTCGAACAAAGGACTCCGATTAGCACCGTTATCAAATTCAACATCCATGTTTTCATCACTGGTTCCAAATTCTTGGCACACCATTCTAGCAAGAGCCCTTAATTCACAGGATATGGTGCTGTATTCAGGTCGAAGCTCGAGTTCTTCCACATCCCAATACCGTTTAGGCATCTGGGATTTCGTCAAAGAACCTGTTCACCCCAAAAATTCAAGAAAATTCACTGAGAAGGATTACGAAAAAACCACAATTCATATCAAGAAATGTAAACACTACTATAATTTGTTCCACGCTTTTATTCTACTTTTCTCTTGAAATCTTGAAAATACCTGGTGGGATCTGCACAGTGTTGCTTGCAGTGGGCTGAAGAGCACGGCGAGGGCGAAGCCTAATGGGCGATCTGGCAAGTGGGGGTTTGCCATTTGATCTTATCATCCTGGACATGTAATATAAGTTTTTAATAGAATAAACTGAGATAAAAATGTATCACGAAAATGAAGAGGAAGAGAGATTTTTGGTAGAAATACTATGAAGAAGAGAGTGATTAATTTGTGGTTTTGAATTTGTGATAAGTTTCTTGTAGAGCGTTTTGGAAGTTTTTGCAACTGTGTTGTGTAATTGTTCTGTTTCTAGGGTTTTCTTTATTAACGAAAATTTCAATTTTGAATTTTATTGGGAAGCGTCTCTAACGGTCATATTCTTGAACCGACGGCTGAGACAAAGTTGTAATAAAGAATTGATGGCGATATCCAAATTGTAATAATTTGAGATAATTACCATCAATTATTTCACAATTATAATATTAGGCCCTGTCTGAACCACCTTATTGTAAAATGAGAATGAAAAATATAGCCGTTATTGGGCCCACACAATAGATAGAAAATTTGAACTTAAATATTGATGTGATGAATAACGATCATATTTTTCATTTTAATAAGAAAATAAGGTGGCCCAAACAGGGGCTTATTTACTTTTCTCGGCGAACTTTCTAAGAGGACAAATTTTATGTGCTGATAGTGTGAAATGGATGTAGACAAATTTGGAAGTGATTGATGAGATAATTAGGTAAGCAATAATTTATGTTTAAAATTGGACATCTAATTTTATTAATATTTCAAGTATAATTACCTTATTTTCCTATCGTAGCTCCTTAATTTCCTATGGACACAATCTCCAATTTGTCCTTTACCCTTCCTCCAATCTACTGCCAGGCGATTTATATTGAATTTTAGATATAACAATATTTTTTAATTAAAACAAGTCAATTATACAAGAAACTATGCTCATTCCACGCCCCTTTCCCCTCCATTCCTATCTCCCATCCCTTTCCACCAGATGCATATCTTTCCCATGCTTCTCTGGGGATGGTGTATATTGGGCAGGGTACTCGTAACAAGTGGAGAAGAGGGGACAAGTGGCATATAGATAAGAGTGAAAAGAAACCAACATATTTACTAAGAGCTTGTCTGATACCGCTTTTTTTACCCAAAAATTTTGATTTTGTTATCGTTTTTTTCAAACTTACTATCCCACTAAAAGAGAAGTTAGTCCAAAATTGCAGTTGAATAGTATTCTTAACGGTTGGAATTTTGTTGTATAGCAGAAACAGACATGTCCTTAGTGTACATAAATGTTTTTATGAGTAAATATTATCATTTTAGAGCATTCTAAAATGCTTTTTAAAATTGAAACGTTCTTTATTTTAAAAGGTCAAAACTTTAAAAATTAAGTTTTAAGAATTTCTTTATTTTAACTTTTTGAAATAGAGTAACTTCCACTCTTTACGTTTGGAAAGCAAAAGTCATTCTTTAATTATATTTTATGAAGATAGCTTTATTTACATTGCAATTTTCAATATTTCACTGTTTAACTATTGACATTTAAAAACGTATTATATTAATTAAAAAGTTAGAAAATAATAATAAATAAATGTTGAGAAAAATTAAAATAAAGAACAAAATTAAAAAGTTTATGAGTGTAAAATGTATTAACTTTTTTAATTTAAAATTATCCATCATGAAGGTATCAATTTTAACCTCAATAAATAAAATTCATTCATTTCATGTCCTAAATTTATTGGTATTCAACATTATATTATTATATCATAATAAAGTAATCAAAACTCAAATGTGTATTTTATTGAGAATCAATACTTCGTATTTATATGGTTCAAAATGAGAGTTATAAATCAAATTAAAGCACTCTTTAATTGTAGATATGATTTATTTAAGTATCTTGATGATACTAAATATACATCAATAATTATCTCATCATCGTAGATCATTCAGGTTAATATTCTTTTATTTATTTACTTACTTCATCAACATATCAAATTCATTTACAAATTTTATAACTTCGAGATTTAAATGATATTAGTTATTTTTCTTCTAAAATAACTATGGCGAGTATATATTCTTGCATAAATATTAAAGAATATGTACAAGTAAATAACTTTAGCAATAATAATATAAGAAAATCATTATATTCAATGTACATCAGCCATTTTTTTACCAAAAGCTCCAACTACAAACAGCAGTTTATTCGAGGATGCACAAAATATCAAATAATTTCGTTCTTTTTTATTCACTTCCTTAATTTACATATATTGAACAAATTCTCTTATAATCTATACAAAATCAAGCCTTGCGCATCGGCGCCTGACCCTGAGATGTGGATCATCAAAGACACGTTAGCATGGCGTACTCCTCCTATTCGAACCGGAGCATGCCATGACGTTGTTAAGATCTCATATAGGCCTTTATGGCCCTGACCTGTAAATGGACCTTTATGAGCTTTCGACCCTTACTGCCCAACCTGAGAACAGACAGCTAATGCGTTCCACTTATTGAACAGGGTTCCATGGTCGGTCCGTGACCCACCTTATTACAAAGCATCATAACACCCCTTTATATAGGAATTCAATGATTCGTACTCTCAATGGAAAATATATAATAAAAGCAAATAAAATAGACCAAATTATGTTTCCTAAAATACGAATTTAAATTGAATACTAAACATAATAATATTCCTTCTAATGCATCAAAAGGTCAAGACACTAGTTCGTTATCCATGAAGGCACAATTCAGTTACTTGTAATCAACATGGTTTGAGGGCTTTCATCGAAATTAATGTGGAAGACACTTCTACAGTATACAATTCTTCAATGACAAAAGCACAGTGGGACAAGATAATTTGGTGGAAATGTAAAAAAAACGTAGAAACATTAAGCTGATGAACTCTTAAAAACAGTTTTCCAAAACCTTTCAACTTCATGTATCGACTCACCCTCCTCCTTTCCCGGGCTTGGGACCGGCTGTGTTAAGCCAACATGAAACACAGGCGGAGTTACACGAGTCACCTACATGTTACAAACAAAAAACTCCCACAATTCTAGCTAGCTATTCAGAAAGTCAAAGCAAACATGATGTTGCAAGAACTAGTCACCAGAACCGGGACATGGATAAACAATTTGACCTTTGGAAGTCATCAATGATTCATCAACAGGCACCAAACTCAGAAATCAAATACATGATCAATCTATTTATCATCCGATGTTTTAAAAGAACATCATCTAGACACATCTAAATCATACCTAAACAGATGAACAAATAGAAGTCAAATATACATAGTAACAAAATAAAAGAGAGTCAAATGACCTGTATCAGATTCTACAGATCTTTTTCACCAGAGTGCATCCACAAATTTGGAAAATTAAAAATTAATTTAAAAAAAAGAAGCAAAAGCAGCAGCAGCAGCAGCAGCAAACAAGTTTGCAAGAGAAGAATTTTTCATACTCTGGTTTATGCAACTCTTTTATATTTCTCATTATCTTTTATAGCGAGAAGCATTAGTCCTCATTTCAATCTATTTCAATTATTTATCTACTGTTACTAAAACATTACATAAACCTTGCTTTGCAAGGTTGGATCGTTATAATCATTTATCTCAATCAATCACTGCAAGAGCTCTAAATGTAACATCATAGATATTACCTCAGTCATCACTGCAATTTACATGAGTTGTCCTAACATTAAATGAAGAGGAAGAAAATGCAGAATAGAGGGATGTATTAGCAAATTGAGTTCATCTAACATGTTAACCAATCCAGTTTCGTTTGGTTTCCCAAGAAAAAATACTCTACACGTCTACAGATCAAGGGCAATACTTTTTCTTTCGGTAAATCATAAAACTAGCACTTCCAAGCTTCATCATCTAGATCGTTGCAGAGGGATACAACATTTTCTTTTGTTTTTTCTTTGTTGATAAATATCACCAATGCAGCACAGATTCTAAAGGCATATACTCATGTCACTTGGAAACCAAACAGTTCAACTAATAAACATGTATAGCAAATACATGGTTTCTGCAGGGTGCAAGGGATATACTTGGGAATGGGTTTCACAAATCTTCAATGAATAGTGCTAGTGAACCACGATTCAAAATATGATTATTAAGATAAACTAGGAAAATTTAGTGAGACACCAGCAAAATAATAATACATATGCACACGAGACCAGGTCAATAGGTAAACAGGTTTTGTTGTTGGATTCAAACACTCCCCTAATTTGACACGTCAAATCCTCTACAGGGGAACCGCAGTTTGGGAGTCAGGGCTTCCCTGGATGATAATTAAGGCATAAATCTAGGAAGTATTCCTTGCTGTTGTTAACATTCAGGTTACATGACCAACACATGGACACGTGTAGTCCTCAATTACCATATCAAAGCTTTTGGCATACAATCAAAGATTTTATATTTACATATCAATAAGCAGTGAAATTGTGCAAATCCAAGTGCACATGATCATCCAGAGAACCCTAGTATTGAAAAGAGAGATGGCACATTCAACCATATAGTGAAAACAAAAAGGAATTGAGGAATTAAACTGAGAGAGAGCATGTTAACTGACAACATTATCACAGGTGGAGACATATCGATTTTACTCCAGGACGTTCCATAATAAATACCAAAATACCAACAGGACGACTTAAAAGCCACACTTTGTGCACAGAAGGACGACCATATCTAGTTGCCAATTGGATTCCTTAGTAAATGTCCATGTCGAAGTCCAGAAAATTAACCATTAGTAAGCTGGGAACCAGAAACAATATAACCTTAATGCATGAGTATCTTGAAACTCAGAATATTACAACTAGCCAGGCATTGTAACATGCAAACCAGTACCTTTACAAGTTAAATGAATGACAAACTTCAGTCTCCTCCTGATATCGAGTACAGATCCAAGATAAATATCCAGACGGCAATTGGAAAGCATGTTCAAGAATTTTAACAGAAGAAGAATCTAGCAAACTCTCTATTCCGGTGCAAAGAATTTGATGACAGACATGACTGATAGGGGATTCAAATGCAGATAATAGAAGCTGAAATAGACTGTAGGAAATCTGGCTCCACCTATTATAAATTTCTAAAACATT